CAGGAGTCGAGGAGCCTGAACCACCTACGCCTGAGCTTGACCCGCAAGACTACAAGGAAGGGGAAGGTCGTTCAGTATCTCCGACGAAAACATGGTCAAACTACCCGACATCGAATCCAGATACTGAAGAACGGAAAAGAGCTGCCAAGCGCAGTGGACAAGGTACAGCAACCGCTTCCAGCTGGAAATCCGCCTATGACAACCTCAGAAGGGTCAGAGCACGCGCAGAGAGCCAAATGGTGTGCTATTGTTGTGGTTCAAACCAACATCACCTGGCTATTTGTCCCGACACTGAGAAGAAGAACGAATTGATGAAATCATTTTCTTACATGGAGGACACTATGCGCAAGTGCTTTTCACCGAGGACGACAAGGCAATCATCCGACGTGATGTTGAAAACCGAAAGAGGAAAGCAAAGTCATCCAAAGACGTCGAAGATGAGGACTACATGGATGTGGATGATGAAGATATTGAACTTCCCGAAGAAGAGCCGGAACTAGGAAGTAAGGTACCACCTTACTCTCCGAGAGCCAAAGGTAGACCACATTCGTCAGACTCTGCAAAAGAGGAATACGCGAAAGCGGTCGAGGCAACCAAGAAGGCCTTTGGGAACGCCAGTTTCGTCACCAGATTCAAAGAGCCCGTCGACCTCTTTGACATTGCCGATGACAAAGAAGGAGGAGAATACAAGGTCGCAAATCACAGGGTTGATAGATCAGGTCCCGATGGAAAGAGGGAACTTGATGCACTTATTCAGGAGGCTGCAGCACTCGGAATAAAGATGCCCAAAGTGAAGGACCTTGCTCCTGACCCACAACAATTTCAAAAGGTTGGATATCGGCAGATTGAGGTGGCTTGCGATAGAGGAAACATCGAGATAATTCCACAGTATGGAGTTACATTCTATGTGGAGTACTGGAATGGGCCGAAGAGAGATGCAACTTTCACGGATCCACCAAAGATGAACCCAGCAATTCGCATCGACAAGTCCAGCGAGGAGAGTCAGTGGGTCAGCGAGATTAGCCATAGACTCAATAGACTACTCAGGCATGGAGTGGGAAAGCATAATGGGATTCAATCGCACCGCGGTCGAAAACCACATGTGTCCCCGAAGTGCAATGAGGGTGGATGGGTGAACATCGATGAGATCCTGGAATATGATCATGTCTTCAACGATGGTGTCAATATCAGTACTATCTCAGGCACTCAACGTGAGCAAGATACCAAGACAGAGCGATACCAATATTTATGCAAGGCGATGTGGCATGCAAAGAAGTTGCAGAACAGAGTACGCTATCAGATTGCCGCCATTCGCATCTCAAAGGAGGATGTCTCACTCGAAGAGGAAAGGCAATACTGGGCAAACCTCATGTTTTACGGCACAGACGCACCGTCATTTCTGAAGCATGAACGTTGGATCGTTCCTTGTGCAATTCGAGCTGTTGCCTCTCACAATTCTGGAAGAGAGACCGTTCTTGAAGAAGATGTGTCAATATATCCTGTGTGGACTTCACATCTCATTCCAGAGAATGTGGCAATGCAGCTTGGAGGAAGCTTTCACATAACATCGCTTTCCAATATTGAGTCAATTATGAAACTAGGAATTGTCCCTGGTGGAACGGAGGGATATAGAGGTAGTGTTTTCTTCAACCACTTTGCGCCGTGGGATGATCGATCATCAAAGATTCTGAGATCAAGATGGCCAAGAGTGGGAATGCCCGTATGCCTTTATGTTCCAATCATGACTTTGAGGAAGCTTGGGGGAAGAATTTCGGAGAATTCCTACACTGTTGTTTTTAGAGAAGTTCCATGGAGATGTGTACGAGGTGCTTGGTATTGGGACGACCACGTTCAGGCATGGAGGAGACTCCTGCTAGGAAGCACTGGAGAGCAAGTTGTTCTAGCGGCACGTCATGGACTTTGGGTTGCTCAGAAGCATACCATCCTCGAGAGAGCCGACGAAGTCACGAAGTCAGCCTCGGCGACAGATGACAGCGTCCAAAAGCTCGTGTCCCTTATCGATGAAGTAAAATTCGATGACAATGGAGAGCTGATCGAGGATTCCATCAGTGAGGAAACTTGGGACGAAATCATCTCCAGAACATGTGAAGGATATCGCAACGTGGATGGCAACATTTTGTGTCCATCATGTATGCATTTGACTTCTTCATCTTTGTCCGTGTGTCTATCTTGTCAAGGCAGGCTACTCTCGTGTGGTATTCGCAACACTGTCATTTCCGATTCACCCGTTGATCTTGTGACCGACGATGAAGAGGAAAAGAAGGAAGAGAAGGAGCCTGAAGATGATGTTCAAGATACTTTGGACCAGGCTACTATGGACGAGATCAGAAGGGCTTGGGAAGAAGACATCGCTCAAACTGAAGCAGCTGACGACGACGAGGACATGGACAATCTAGATCCTTCCAAACCGTCTGATGGTGCAGAAAACTTCAAGAGTGACAATGTCGAGACCCCATGTTTCAATGAGGACGAGATCGACTACGGTCGTGATTCTGATCTAGAAGATGAAGACGAACGAAATATGATCATCGAGATTCAGAGGAGCACACAACAATATGAGGGGAAGAAACGTCAAGATGGTGAGCCCGAGGATGAAGACGTCGCCGACGACTTACATCCGGAGGCGAATCGACCGACAGATCGTGATGAACCGGGATACTATGCACAGCATGGAGCGACCGAGTTCAATCCCGAAGAAGGAAAAGACAACGAGGATCTCCCCATCTATTGTCGAGTACCGGAACCTCGAATCTATGCGCATCAAGAGAGAGCCTACTGTCAGGACGTCTCCGTGAAAGCATCGGGTTTGATGGATAGGTATGTGGTCAAATGTGTGCTGAGCATGATCTCCCTGATGTACAAGAGCTACTATTGCACCAGCCTTACCGACTTCAAAGCAAATTGGAAAAAGAAGCGTCTGGATGTGATAAGCAAGTTCGGTGCAGGAGATTCCACTGAAATCGATGGCGATGGGAGACCATTGGATCCAACAGATGAGATGATGTTAATCTTTGCCAACGACAACAATATTACAACTGAGGAGGCCTGGCACCGATTCAGAGGAGAGCAGTTCATTTGCAAGGTGGCACTCATGATCCTATCATTTGGTCATACTCCGCAATCCTTCAAGGAGGAATATGGCAACTTCGAACACTCCACCAACTTGACTGATGCCCAGCTTGAGGAGTTGAAAGCGAAGAAAGCCAGCGCAATGACTGAATTGGTACAGAAGTGCATCCATGCGATTTATGGTTGTCGGACATATTCCTACTTTAGAACCGACATTACATCACCCAACCACAAGGTGATCGATCCTCTGGACATCATGTACTCGAGAATGAAGAGCAAGTGGGAGAAGTCTATTCTGTTGATCATTGATCAACATGAGATCAGGTTACCCCCACAAGCTCAGGAAGTCATAGAGTCAATGGCCAGAAACCCCAACGTTGGACATACAGAGAGATGGATGAGCGTGGTAGAACATAAGCATGTTCAAGCTCTTACCAATCGTCTAGGCTTTGGAGATAGGGCCAAGGAGATTCAGGGCAAGAAGAAGCAGGCAGCCAAGGCAACAGCTAAGTCAACATCAACGACTAAGTCTGAAGCGAAAACGGCATCTTCGTCAAGAGCTGAGGCAAAGCCAGCATCTACACCCAGAACCGAGGCCAAGCCGTCGTCAGCACCAAGTGAGGAGCCAAAACCTTCAACAGCACCTAAGAGTTTCGGGCCCTCATCAACAGAGGAGAACAAGGCGAAGGCTGTTCTAAAAGCCAGACCACATGATAAATCACCATCCAGTGCTACCGATGTGTTCGAGCAAGCTTTGCAGGAAGATCTTGCCGCCAACACACATGCAGCAGAAGGTACAACTTCTTCATCATCTCGAGGACATTCCAAAGGAGGAGGCCAATCTGGAACATCTTGGAGGCCGGCGCTAACGCAAGAACATCGCGAAGTACCTCAACCTTCTGAAAAGGGAAAGGGAAAGAGCAAGTCCAAGGGAAAGTCCAAGAAAGGAGAAGATGATCGGTGGGATGCTCAGGGCAGCTGGGATCATCGTGGATGGAGAGGTTATCACCAGTGGTGATTTCTTTGAACGACTATGAGGATACCATGCAAACCAGGGAGGAAGTCATTCACCGGATGTCTATCTGACCTGAAACGCTGTAAGTGTATCATTGCAAATCGTCAATCTGATTTGATACCATGAGCATAATGGAAGGAAGACAATCACCGACTGTCTCTCCGACTTGCCGTTCTGTAAGTGTATCCAAACTAAAACCTACATCTTTTGAGAAGTGTGAAGTCAGTTGCCGATGTGACATCTACGTGGAAGTCACCAGTTCGGATCTACATCAAAGCGATGCTCTTTTGAGTGGATACTGAGCGAGGCCTCGTGACTGTCTCACTTGTTCAATTCGATTTTTTTTCAAAGGTTCTGAGCCATAGTTGCACACTTTATATGTAAAAGTCCGCTTTAGTCCAGCATGTTTCGTAGTATGAGCCTCATATGAGTCTCGCGGCAAATCATACAATTTCTTTGTAGCACTTACATCCCTTAATTTTCGTGTGTGATCGGAACATATTGTTGCCGTTCACATGGGGGGTGCGAATGGAAGTGCAGCGACACGTACAGTGCAACTTGTACATATATATATATATACCATATGTACTTTGGCTCAAGGCTCAAGCGACTAGAAAAGGTGCGGTTTCCGTTCCGACGCTACGCCGCTTATGGACCGTCAGTGATAGCTTCAAACTTCGCTGATTAAGATCCACTCGCAGAATATATAAAGATATATATATATGTGAATATGGGAATCTTATCGGAATCTGCCGTACTGGTACCTTTGTGTGCGAAGGTTAAGTGTGCTTTTTGTCCCGCGTTCGATCTTTTCAAACATGAAACCGTCGGCACTCAAACGTGATTGAGACATTGTGTTCATGTCTTCTTTGTCGCTTTGCCGACGAAATCCAAGGTCTGGGCACATGCCGTCTTCTATTTCACAGGGGTTGGAATCACGATCTTGTTGATGAATTTGTTGATTGGTGTGTTGGGGCAGAACTTTGAGCTCTACCAGGACCAAAGTGCTTTGCTTTTCCAACGAGCTCGGGCCAAAATGCTGCTTGAAATCAAGGCCCGCCCTTGGAGGCGCATTGGAAGCGGGTTCATCAAGATGATCCGACAGATATGGCTTTCTGAATTTCGATATGGCTTTCTATTTCTGTGGCTGGGTGCCAGTATCCTCTTGATGGTATTCCTGCCTTTCTTGATCACCTTGGGCACATGTGTCATCTTCATTGCAGTCACGTGCCGCATTGTCTTCCAGATACAATTGAGTGGCATCTACTACTCCACAGCAGTTGCACTGGGCTACTACGGCCCTCAGGCCAACGCAAAGGCGGACGAGAGCTGGATTTGGGTGTTGGTTCGTCCGGAGCGGCCCCTGGAGGACATGAGGAGCCTCCGCACTGAGCTCAGGAGCCAACTAGAGAACCTCAGACTGGAAACACTTCCTTTGCTGGCTGGTAGAAGTCTTGATTCGATATATAGATATATATATATACACATAGAGACCCTATTTTGCTTCTCTACGACAAACACCAAATATCGGCTTGACTGTTTGTTTTTTTTTTACATTGCAATTTTGATTGAGTCCAGGATAGTTCCACAGCCTCCCACTGTCGTTTTTCTCTCATTCACGTGACATAAAGAGCAAAAGAGAAGGGCTCGTCGCGGTTTGTGCTACCTTGAATTTCCTCTAGTGGGGTTTCAATAAATGAGATGTCCGGGTTTAGAACCCTTTTGCTGTCACAGCTGTAGCACCAGCGGAACAATCATAGACCTTGATAATCATCCCGTTTGCCGGCTGGGCAAACCGTTCTTTGTCGCTCATGACCAGCCACAAGCAGTCCATTTGTTCTGAAGCACCGAGCCACTAAGGAGCAAGTTCAGCGAAGTGAACTCCACACAGATACTCGGCTTTTTTCTCAGTCCCCAAGAGAGATGGTCGGCTCCAAAGCAAACGGGCCGCCGTTCGTTTTCCGATCTTGTGGCCTCCTGTGGAGTCCACAGCATCCCATAAGACTAGAGTATATAAAGGAACATTAAAGTATGTAACGTATTATAGATTACAACATAACTAAATTCAGTTTCAATCTGAAAGATATTGAAAGAAGAAAAGTGACGGGTTCTGCAGGAATGCACAGAAACCTCTCAAGTAATTAGTTGATATGCTTAAAACCCTCTAAGTCCACGGCTCAGTCTTTGGAGAGTGGCACGAGAGTACTAAAGAATCTGAAGCTCACCCTGCTGCTGGAGTTCACACGACCCTCACCTGCTTGGTAAAGGCTTGCAAAGGTTTTGCTTTGGCAGGTAGATGTTCGCCTTCAGGTGACAGCTACACACAGGCAATCTTAAGTGTGCATCCTTCCAAGGGGCCTGCAACAAAGCATCTTATACACAGTACTCAGTACTCAGTATATAATCTAAGGCAATTTGATTTGATACTCTTTTGAGAGGCAGATGGCTTTGGATTTTGGCGGTTTTTTGTCGCAGACTTGCTTCCCACCTCAAAAGCTCATTTTCGGCTGGTGGTGGTTATCAGAAGGGCATTGTATTGTTTCTCTTTGGGCCAAGTTTGTCAGGAAGAAGTTGGAGACTTCGAATGTGGAACAGAAACAGAAGCTGAATGGAGTGGAAGAGAAATTGCTGAATATGGAGACACTTGGACTTGGAAGAATGCCATGGAGGTCACTCCTCACATCCACGTCACTGCAAAGCGCTAGCTCCCCATTTGTGTACTTCAAACGGTGTTTCACTGATTTTTGCAGAGATCTTTGGAGTGATGTGATGTTCCTGTTCCTGTTTGAAGAGGCAAGCGTAGTTCAAGAGGTGCACGTTCAACTTGTTAAGCAAAACCAGACCATGTTTGGTGACAATGCGAACCTCTGTAAGGAAGGCGTTGGAGGCATCGGGTTCAGAGCAAAAGGCAAAGCTGGATGGAGTTGAAGCGAAGTTGTTGCGCATGGAGACACTTGACTTGTGAAAAACCAATGTTTTATTTTTAATGCCGTTTATGGGAGAGATGGGGTTATTGCAGGACAGAGTGTTACTGCGAAACCGATTATAATTCTCTTCATTTGAGGGCATGGGGAATAGACTCGACTGAAAAACGCCAGGTGTCAAGGGGCGACCCCAACCTTGACCCTAGCAAGAAGCTACTAGGAGCAAAGGGCATCGCTATTGACCCTAGCCCCAAGGAGCCATCTTGAGAGATTGATGGCCTTGACGGAGAAACTGGTGGATGCGCCACCGGCCACATGAGAGGTCCCGCTCGGCCAAATGGCCTGAATGGGTTGAAAGGCGCTCAGTGGTTTGATCCGCGGCCATGACATGGTGTCCTCAACGTTTGATGTACACCCGTGGCCAAGGATGCCGCTGATGTGAGCCACAGCGTGTGGTGAGTTGTTGACCCAAAAGGGCGTGTTTGTGCGCTTACATGGCTGAGTGTAGTGACTTTAGTCAGCACCTAGCACAGCAGAAAAGCAATATCTTTCCTGTGAATCAAAAGACAGTGGGGTAGCAAATAGGAGAAACTCACACGGCTCGTGCAAACCACTGTATTTGGGCCGGTCAGTACCAAGTTCCTGTTTCAAGTATACAATAGTGTCCGAGCAACTGAGATTAGATCTCAAGGTTGGTGATAGCCGTTTCGCCTCTAGCTGTTTTCCACCAAACCAGGTCACGTCCAGACAGATTGACCCCGTGAGAACATCAAACAATCAAGCAGGGTACTTTTGGGTCAACAACCTGCAGCTGTATGGATTCCACGGGTCATCTATGCTTAGGCTCCCATATCCATGTTCGTTCGGGGTCTCGTCCAAGGCTATGCCACATTGTGGCCAGCTGGCAGAGCACAACTGACCTGTCACATCCTCTCATACCTTGGAAAACGTGTCATCCAACTTAAATAAAGTCAATACGCCCTAATAGCGATGGCCTCGAATCTAAACAAAACATATCAAAAATGCAAGCTGTTCCACTTAGTAAAAAGGGAAGAGCTGCATGCCTTTATGTCTGGAATCATTTGAAGAAGAGCTGCATAAAGTCTGGAATCATGTTCGGATGTTTTCAGAAACCTTCCCCTTGTGGCCAAGTGTTTGGGCCATACGTGCCTGATCTTCCAAAAGCGAGCATCACGGCAGGCTTGACTTGTACCGAAACCGCATTGCAGACAATGGCGTGGGACGGCTTGCGGAGGCTGACCGGTCATGCTCCATCATGATCCACAATCTTTGGAAAGGCATCGCGATGCGTAGCGATGGCCTCCGACCTAGTAGCAATTCAATCTTTGGAAAGGCATGCATGCGGCAATTGTGATGGATTGATGACTTTTTCAGTGCCGATGTTTAAGAGGCTGTTCCGCAATGTGGACATTTGGAGTGGTCACAGTCCAAGCTGCATGCACAAGCGGCCATGGTATCAAAGTTATGCAAGCGCCATTCGAGCCAGCTAAGGCTTAGATTGTTAGAAAACTCCTATGGCATCAAAGGAGCAACGCGAATGGTTGAAGCATGGGAGGCAGCTGTTTTGGATTGTTTTGGTGTGTGCGGGTGCTTGTGCATACAGTACATCTCTGAGCCAGATGGATGATCCACCCAGTCCTTCTGAATTTAGAGGTTTGATATGTTCAGGGGACCAGGGATTCATCATTCACAATTTGATGGGGATTGACCAAAACGATGTGAATCACTGGTGAGACAATTGAATGTAACTCTTGCTGCGACGCTTATGTGCAAACCGTCTGGCATGTCCCGTGCTGCGGCATTTGAGGCAGCAGGAAAGGCCAAGGGGCCTTGGCCACAGACATGTTGCGATACACATGAAACCAACGAAGCTGACTAAGCTGTGAATAGAACAGCTGGGCGATGAGAACAGCAGATGTTGAGAGATGAGAGATCGAGAAATGAGATTACATGAGAGAGGGTTAGACACTATATGCTGTGACAATGTCATACATAGGGATGAGGAGGTACACTTCAGACTTTGGTGTACCATACTTCACGCCCGCAAGTCGCATCGAGGCGATTACTTTGCCGTCCATCGCCATGCAAGAGCGGAGGCTCGACGAACATCTGTTGGGAGGGCACCTGAGGGCAACTCTGGACTAAGTACGGACGACAAGAAAGACTTTGCTTCATCCTGGTAGGTTATGCAGGCTGGGCCAGTTGGGGCAGTGTCTCACTGAGCTTCTTGACTGTTCGATATGGGTGAATTTGGAAGCATTGGAAGGTTGTGTTGCTCACAACCAAGGCCCTTCCAGGGTGGTACCTCGACAGGAAGGCAGGGACACCTGGTTTTGGGCTTATTGTTGGTCTGTAGAATCTGAAGGAACTGAACGGGAGAACGGTGGAGAATCTTTTCGGATCCTTTTCCGCTTACCAAACAAGGGGTAGCTAACTGAAGAGTTCACTCAGAGATGCATGTCGAGGACAGTTTTGATCCATGCCGATCCCATTCCGAATCTCTGACTTTTCTGTCTGACCGACATGTTGCTCACTCTCCTTCGTCTTCTGTCCGAAGGCGATCCAAAGCCAAAGGTGCGGATGTCGCTCTAGGCACCCAGAAGTGGGAAATAGTGGGAAGAGTCACAGCAGATTTTCAGCCGATGCTCATCAGCTGTGGCAATCTTCTGCCAAATGAGAGGAAGAAGTGTGAAGATGATTAATTGCTCATGATTTTTCTGTCAGACCCTCCGTCCCTGTCCCTTCTTGAAACCTTGATTGCGGTAAGTGGTAAGGATCTGGCTGAAGTCAGAGGGTTGATAGCTCACGCTAGCTCTGCACAGCTGCAGAGTTTTATATAGTATGTTTTAGTTGTGGTTGTGCTTTACTGACGTTGGCTGCAGGGAATATTGTCGCGCCGCCATGCCGGTTAGCTTTGAAGTTACAAGTTCTTCTTGAACTTGAAGCCGTGGAATGGCAGGATGCTGAGCTGATGGGCGCAGCAGAATTACGCAGCGGATATAGTATCGGCATGTATCGGCTAGTGGCTATAGGTCTTCTTCGACTGCAGCGTCAAAGACTTTAACCTACTCTCTCTCTCTCTATATATATATACACTAATTTGACACTTACATATATCAGGCAGCTGCAAATAGAAGTTGAAGCGATACTATGGACAGTTGCAACATTATGATGTGGTATGATGTGAAGGTGATGCTGCAGTTGAAACCCTTACCCTCAAAAAGCTGTTTGGTGGCGCGAATCCGTGTGAACCTGCGCATCAAGCGCATGGTGTGCCAAAGCATTGCACGCATTTCAAAGACACTGTGTACTCTGAAGTCGAGCTGCTTCATCTGGAATCTACAGAACATACGATGACGCTTCGTTTCTGAGGCATGAATGTACACTGATCACTTAGCATTCTTCAGCGAAGTCTTTGAATCAGGATATTCAGATTTATACTGTACCTTTGAATGCAGAAGGCATCTCAGAGGCTTTTCCAGGACAGTTTGCCCTGCGTTAGTGACCGCTGATCATTTGGAGCTCAAGAAAACTGCACAGAAAGCAAGATATTTCATATTATTTCATGATATGTTTGTACTTGGAGCTTCAGCTTGATCCAGCATGCAATTCTGCCCAGATGCACCTGAGGTGCTGTGGTGTCCAAAACGTGGAAGAACCGATTCTTTCTTCGATGCAGGTAGGTGTAGTGACTAGAGAAGGGCAAGGAGTCTCTTGGTATTCAAACTTGGCAGGGTAGATGAAGCAGGATTCTTGCCTAGTCTAGTAGATCTTACTACAGTATATAGTTTGTGTGGAACGTTCAGTGCAACTCAGTCGCGGCGACGTGTCCTGGACATTCACTTTGCCGGTGGACATGACATGGGATGAACACCCGCATTCCGACGTGTACAAGCAAAAGGCCAAACCTGGCCCAATGGGTTCGCTGTCTACGTTTTTCCTTTGCTACATATTTTGAGAGAGTCGACTCCCTTTAAGGCTGAAGGTATGCTTTTTGCACTTGGTTTGGCTCAAGGCCAAGGGCCTGGTTTGGAAAGTTGATCAGCACATGGAACCAAAGCAGCACCCCAAAACACTGCCGGTGGGTTGAAGATCATCCCGTGGACGCCACAGATCCAGTTTCTTGGGTGCACCAGTCGGTTCACCTTTTCTTGAATTTTTTTGATCAGAATATGCCAAAGCCAGACCACCTTCAGACTAATGACCACTGGAAAGCATTGCCCCCAGACCAGCCTTCAGCTTAACGCCAAAGGCGAACGTTGCACAAAACAACTGTCCAATGCATAATGATGCGATTTCCATGCTCCAATGCGCTCGTCCAGCTTGTCCTACAGAGCAGCGCTGCCATGAAGCGCTCCAGTCTTGAAAGACTGGCAGACGAGCAAACTGAGATATGGCCAGAATCTCAGTCTCCGTGGTGCATGATGAAGCAGACAGAACAATAACATTGCCAAATGTTGTGTCATTGAATTAAATTGAATAACACATGATTTGATTATTATAGTAATTTAGCAATGATATTGTGTAACGCAAACAATGATATTTTATAATTACATATATGTAACGCATATCAATACTACCATGTCATACATCGCATGAACACAACACGTGCTTCTTTTGCCGTGTCCCGCTTTGATGCTTCAACCAACTGACCACAGAAGGAAGGCATGGGTGAGGTTTTGGAGGAACGCGCAAAGGAATGCATTTCCACTTGGTGCCGGATGTTTGTAGGTAACAAGGACGCTATTAGGGGCTCCTGGCCTTACAACTAGGAGCAAGGACGCTATTAGGAGCAATGGGCATCGCTAACAACGGAGCAAGAAGCTACGAACGTAACAAGTACTCAGAGCAGAATTCGCCAACAATTCAATCCACTGAGGTATGTCCAGGAGAATCCTAAGAGAAAAGGGAGCGACTCATGGAAGAGGCACCTAGGCAATCATATTCGACATCGTTCACTGCATGCTAAATCTTCCTTGGCCATCCAGTTTACAGCAACGTCGTTCAACATGAAGCAAGACATGCATTTGTCCAACAAAGGTTGCTGAGATTTAGATTGTGTACTTTTCTTGAGGTATGAGGAGTACAAGCAGGCCAAAACTGTGGGCGAGGCCGCATGCCCCAGCTTGGCGTTTCGCCCATGCGCTCAGCGTGGTCCTCTGCGTTGTACTTCACTCAGCGTGCCATGAGGCCTTGCAGCTCGGGTCCTGGAAAGGCGACTTGAAGCATGACTTCGACCACAGGCCCTCGGAGCCATCGGGGTGACCGCCAGTCATTGCCATGGTTGAGACAATCTGTTTTTAATGTTTGTGGTGTTGACTGTGTGTTTTATTCGTGCAAAGAGACTAGACCATGAAGCACGAAGGCCATTTTCTCACGCATTCTTTCTTTGATGTATTCAAAAGGGTTGCTGATCTTTGGGGCTTTTTGAATCTTGTTTATGTTTGTCTTGATACGTTGCCTTGTGCTTCCGCCAATGGGGGGAGAACCGTTTCTTGACCGGTTTATACAACATTATCATTGGTTAATAACGGTTTCTACACTTACTGTGTGAGGTTTCTACACTTCAAGGAGGTGCAAGGTGCTGCGAAGCGGGCAGCAAAAGCACGTGCGACGAAAGCGACTCCGTGCCGTGAATCCAAAGCTTCTCGGAAGAAATCACATCAAATATTTGGTCCTTGGATGCTTCCTCATGTTAGACTCCAACTAGTTTGCTAGGGATTCTTTTTGTTTTGAACTGTGCATTAGCTAAACACAAAACACTCGCAGGTAGCTTGGATGGTTTGCCCATATGCAGCGCTCCTCTCCACTCTGAGGCGGTCCCAGCAGAGGATGAGCAAGGCGATCCCATCGAAGATCAAGGCCAAGTTTTGATTTCTCCAAGCCACAAGGGTTGCTATATCGAAGAAAGCATGAAAAAAACATGAAAACACATACAAACAAACGAAAGTATGTGAAAGTAGGGCAACTTTGCCTTTTGGGAAAGAGGCCATTGCTATTAGGTTGACTCTTCTTCGGATGCCCCGCAGAGGCATGGCAGAGTCCGCGGAGCCTGCGGAGCCCAGCTCCAGTTCCAAGCGCCTCGCGCAGGAGCTGAAGCGGCGTAGGAGCGCCTTGGCTGCGTAGATGGTGGAATGGTGGATATTGATCATGATATTGCTACTTGTAAGTCTTAAAATGTATTGTAAAGGTATGGTGGGAAGGTCAGTGCTTGAAGGCTTGGGTTTTGGTACAAGTAGCTAGCCACCCATCACGAACTTGCGACGTGTAACTATGGGGTTTGACACATGACTCATGACCCACACGCGGACCCATTTTCCATTCCCTGTTGTTTGGCACAACTGTTGTCGCTCCCGCAGGTGCTCCACGGCAAGACAAGGTGCCGGGCTTTTTGATGTTTGAAACTTGGGAAGTCAGTGCTTTTGGCTGCGCTGGCCAGGAGAGCCCCCAAGTGTGGAAGAAGCTGAAGTCGAAAGGCATCCTCACAGAGAATGATGCAGATGAGGCAGGTGCAGTGTACCGGCATGCCTGATTGCATGTATTGCATGAGCAGGCGAGTATATGTAAAAACACAAACTACATCAAACTACAAAGCAACAATTATACACAACACCGTGCTTATACTGTGGTTCTCCGATTGATGGGGCATCGTTTGCTAAGAGTGTTGGATGATGATTCCACAGGCAGCGCGGCTTTGCCAAATGAAATGTGATTTTTGTGCTCGTTGGGTTTTCAAGCTCTTTGACACTTTGAAGTTGTACAATCTAAAGCAGCAGCGTCGTTGATATCGATGAGTCTTCAAGGCGAAGGAAGACCTTCCCCAATCCTCTTGCGCTTCACAGCCAGGCATGGAGTAGTAACGAACGATGTAGTTTACATTCCTGATCAATTCAAATGGGTTGACTGTGGTTGAGATGATTGTGGTTGACACGGAAAGTAGCAAACAAGGTAAAATAGATGTTCAGTATGACCTAAGACCTAAGAAATCGTTAAAAGAGCTTCAAAGGGGCGTTCATGGGCAGTTTCCTGATTTCCAACACAAGTTCTCCCAAGAATGTTAACTGTTTCTATTTATTTAGTTTTAAAGCTTGATCAATTTGTTGGGGCAGTTCTTTGGGCTCCACCCAGTGGTGGCGGATGTTCCAGGACCTACGGTGGCAGAGCGACGTCCTGCTTCGCCTTTGCAAGGCGAGCAGCTCTCGGTGGCTTGGACTCAGCCGCAAATCGGCGATTGGGGGAGACCACTTAAACATACTCAAACGCTTGTTCCCCGCTTTGTTCATAAACCACCACTTCCGTGAATAGTGATAGTGTTGTTGTTTGTTGCTGTTGCTTTTGCTGTTGCTGTCAACTGTTGTTTGTTGCTGTTGCTGTTGCTGTTGCTGTTGCTGTTGTTGTTGTTGCTGCTGCTGCTGCTGCTGCTGCTGCTGCTGCTCCTGTACATTTGTTCTTTTAATCAAGCAATGGTTGTGTGTCATGATCTGTGATGTCCTTGAAAATTATGGTCCATCAAAGTTTGTTTGGATCCATTTGGGTCGCGATGCAAAATTGAGATCACGGAATCGAGGTGGCAGACCTGTGCAGTAGACCTTCAGACTTCCATGAAGTGCTCTCAGAAGTCGCCCGGAGTCTCAGAATTCCTTGATGATTTGGAGTAAAATAACTATTAGTAATGGCCTCCACCCTAGTAGCGTCCTTGCTACTAGTAGTAATGGCCTCCAACCTAGTAGCGATGGCCTCCACCCTAGTAGCGTCCTGGTTCATCCTATTTGTTTTTATTTATACAGTTAATTGTTAACTCTTGTATACACACACTTCCATGATTCATTGTGGTTAATGTTTCATGACCTCTGAGCTGACAGATATGCACGCCGAAAATGGTGTTGTATTATGCAGCTAAGCAGCAAGGATACCGAGGCCTGTTTTTTCTGATGTATGAGTCAACAACGTCAGCCTATGACTTGGGAGACAGGTGTAAGTCTCCAGGTTATGTGTCTCTTACATGTTTGCAACCTTAAAACCTTTGTATTATAGCTCCCCGGCAGCTGACATTTTGCTTTGTCACTCTTTTTTTGAACTCTTGCCATGAATGCAAGCCTTTGTGTTTTCAAACACAGAACTGGGGCAAAAGAAGCACCGTGGTTTGACGAGGGTTGTTCCTTTTTCCATCCATCTACGGTATATAATAGCCAGGATTCCAACCTCTTTGCTCTCGTCCTACAGTGTACTTTCTCACCACCTGAGAAAAGACCCCAAAAAACCTCCTGGCTTTGCTTGCTTTTTGCACATCACTCCTGGTGTTGGGCTGTTGAAAGGAGTTATAAACGTTGTCATGCCACGTCTTTTCGATTTGAAGCTCCTTTTTCTTAGCTAATATAGCTGAAGTACATTCTAATATCGCCTTCATTGATGGTTTGTAGCTGAAGAACTTTTCAGTGTCACCTTCATGCACCTCAGGAGCAAAACGCACGAGACTTTGCTAGAGAATGTGGACTTCCTGAAGAGGCCAGGACTCCTCTAATGGCAAGCAGACATGGCAGCCGGGGCACGCCACGGCAAGGTCATAGAAGGCAGATGTTTCTTCCTAGGAACAAGAAGCTACTAGGAGCAAAGGGCATCGCTACTAGGAGCAAGGACGCTACTAGGGGCTCCTGGCCGTACTACTAGGAGCAAGAAGCTACTACAAGGTATATGCACACGAGGGAAGTGATGACCCACCCCCAAGTGAGCCCTAGCAGAACATGAAGATGAACATTGGCCAAGTGAATTTGTTTGACACGTGTTTGTTCCATGTTTATGTTTTGTGTTTTGATCTGAAATAGATTTCCACATGCTTTCATGACACAACGTTTTTTTTAATATTAGCCCTTGGTTCCACCTTGGCTCGGTGAATGCTCTTACCTTGCTTGCTTGCAAAGTTTCTGTAATGTCAGCTGACCTTTATTCGCTGTTGGTTCTAACTCGGGTGAAGTTTGTTTCTGTGTTACCTTGGGTACTTCTGCACTTACGCACAGGTTGTAATCTGTCCTCACGCGCGAGAAAGCAATGCATCCTCTCCAAGATAAATTTTAAAGCTGTCCAAAACTGTAGGAATCAATGGGGCCCACCCCAATGTATGCGATAGGAGCAATGCCCTAGCTACATCTAGCTACTACACTACACAGCTAAGGATCAAAATGCACGGCAAGCAGGTCGTGCGGATGTATCCAGAGTTGGACGTCTCTGAATGATTTTCTTCCGACCTTTCTCAGGAGATCGCGTCCACCGTGGAGGATGAGTCAACATGGGAGGCGCAAAGTGTGTAATTTGGCCGTGTTATCTCATGTCCATCTTGCAGATTTAGAACTGTTTATATAGAGCGGTTTAGAACTGTTTAAAGGTCAGAGTGACATCAGAGGCTGCGCAGACAAAGAGCAGAAATGGGACCCGTCAAGCCCACGAGCTTTGACAAACAGGCTGTTTCGGCTAAAGCTGAAACCGCGCAGAAGTCGACAAAAAAAAACTCGCTCCAAAAACTCCAAATGCGCTCTTTTTTGCACTCCTGCCTGTGGTCAGTCCCACTAATCAGATCTGTTGAGGTGGTAAAGTATTGCCACGAGTCGAGACCCTCCAGTTTCATCATTCACAATCATTCGCAGTTTATGGGAAGTAATGAGAAACACCGTAGCAATCGTAGCAATGCTTAGATATGTTTACAGTAGTATTTGGCTCGTGGGTTTAGATGTGCGGTTTGTGCTCGGTTTCCAGATAATCTTTCTAAATGTTGCAAGACCAATGTTTGAGGAAGAGTTGGCCTAGACCAGGAGAACATAGACTCAGTGACCGGAGGCTTAATCTGATGGTCCTCACGCTTGTATGATTCCAGATTGTCATTCTAAAGTTTAGTTCAACTAAGTGATAAGTGATGTGGAGGTTGGGTAAGTTCTTGTCCCGACATGTGGTTCATGTTCAATGCGAAACTCACAGATCCTATCAGAACATGCTGGACGTGTTTTGGCGATGCTCTTCAGGCAGTGTCTGCTGAGGAGCCGCCTGCAGAGGAGACTTCTGCGCAGAGTTCGGAGCATGAAGCAAACCACGAAATAGCCCCTAACTATGAATGCAATTGGCAAACTTCGTGGCCTTTCTCATCCTTTCTCAATTTGCTGGTGATTGTTTCCAAAGGAAGCTGGCAGTTCGGCTGCTCCGTCACTACTGGATTGGCTGCTTGGCGTGTACCCATTTACAATTCGGCATTCTTTTTTGCGGTGCTGAAAGAGGCTTGCATGAAAAAGATAGGAGAATAGCCCACCACAACCGGATGGACGTATCAAGTTCAGTGTAGCAGTAATGCCAATACTGGATTAATCACCACCCCTCAATTTCAACAAGTTTTGAGATTGGAGGTGTTGGAGATTGGAGACCACATCCCGCTAAAAAGGTGATGACCTGATGACGGATGATAGTTAATAGGATTCTGTGTGAACACTGAGGCCTGTGAGAGGGGTACCCTTTGTGAGCTAGAAAACGTTTAGACTTGATTTTGATAGAGTTTAATAATGGAAATATAAATAATTTTGCTAGAGAGGTTTTCAGGGATTGTGGACAAAGATTGCAGGGGAGAACATTGGTAGCGTAGATTGCAGCTTTAAACAATATACCAATGAATTACTTTTTGTTTTCTAGGGGCAGATGGGCTTGATTAATAGGGGAGGTTACTTAATCCTGTGTGCGCATTATACTTCGGAGAGGAGGATTGGATGGTTATTCAGACAGCTCGTCCAAGCATGTTCTTCAAGCAGAAAGCACAGCCTAGATCCGAAGATCCCTGTAGAGAGGCCCCGGGAAGCAAGTGGCTGACAAATTTTAGGGTATTCCCTGTAAACTTGTGGATACACCTGGGTTTGAGTCTGGTGAAAGATCGCATTTGGCGAGTCATCTATATTCAGCTCTTGCAAAAGGATGCACAGAGGCAGGTTGCAGTTTCTCTTCACATCATGACTTCTTGAAAACTACTCAGGCCAGAGGAGGAGTTGGTTGCAGCGGCTGAGGACAGACACGTTGAAAGCTCAAGAGTGGCAGGCAGCCGTCGACACTGCAACTATATAAATAGGCGCAATGACAAGGCGCGCAGATTCAGGCTAGTCGCTGCCGTTTGGCCAATTATGTAATGTTTCTGTCTAGCTGATGCCAGAGATAAACACAGAATGTGAGAACCAGGCATAGTAATGCGTGTTTCATTGGATTGCATGCATGTATTTTTGTAGATTGTAGTGATGATTACAATGGCAAGGAGCCTGGCTGTTCGGCTCTTCCTCCAGAACTGGATTGGTTGCTTGACAACACTATTTGTTTGGTTGCTCAACGGTAAAGCTGTTGGTGGGCAGACGTTCGGAACAGATGACCGCCGGATGACCGCTGGATGTTTTGAGATTGGAAGGTTTCAGCAGTTGACAAAGTAACAAATACGAGTCCAATTTATCAGTTTCCAGTGCAAACCGAAAGCAAGTACACAGCAAAGCCTCTTTGACTTGAAGACCCTCTGCATGTGGGGAGGCAATCATATCAAACAATCGTTACCAAGACCTACACAGCCTTCTCTCATTTAGGCCAGATGAAGAGGTGCTTGCAGCGGCTGAGGAGAAACGTGTGACCGCCACCACTAGCACTAGATAGCACTGCGTAAACAGTCAGATAGTGTTAAACTGTTGGATGTTTTTGCCACGTGTGCGCAACCGATTTGATCCAGATGTGGCGCTTCAATGGTTTTGTGCAGTTTCTAAGTATCCTGGCCAGACGCCGTGGATTTAGATAGAGGGTGAGAATCTCGGGCAGGACCAAGCATATACTACTACTAGTGGTACATTATTTGAGTGTATATGATGTTCTTTCAGCACTGACATTGGTGACTTTGAGCAAGGAGGCTGGCAGTTCGGCTCTTCCTCCAGAACTGAATTGGTTGCTTGACAGCACCTGGACTAGAAGGGATACTTGCGACCAGGTCAGCACTGTTGAAATTCATTTTGTTGCTGCCTTGTTGCTAGTAGCTTCTTGTTACTAGCAGCGATGACCTCCAACTTATTTGCGATGGCCGGAACGCTCGGACCAGATGGACTCAAGCTTAGCAACATTATCACGGGAGCATGCAACAAGCACAAGCAAGTGTTACGTACTGTATAGGATCGTGAACGGCGGCATTTGCAAGTCACGTTTGCTACCTAGGCCTGATGAGGAGGTCCTTGCAGTGACCAAGGAGAGAAAGCTAACGAAACTTCAATACTTGGTTCCGAGAAGTCTTGCATGTTGTTTTTGCATGTTATTGCTGCAGGAATGCATGTCATGCCAAGCTTTGCCGTTTTAGCCACTATGGCTCAGTTCATTCAGGTCTTTTACTGAACGTTCATGGGGGCCGTAAAACTCCTCGGAGATTTTCCATGTCAAAGGCGGAGGAATCCGTGAAGGATATTGAAAAGGAATCTGGTGAAGATGTCGCATTGCTCACTGGGAAGCAGCGACGCATCTTGCATTAAATTTTGATACCATCGATGACGATGTGTGGGCAGAACTGTTGATATGCAACATTGTGTTTGTTCTCGATGTTTTTTGCAGGTGAATGCTCTTGGACATGTGGCATAGCGGAGTTTATCGATGACCTCGCAGGTTCGCCGCCTACCTCGTAGTTGGATGTCAATGCCACAAGATGAATCTGCAGCACATTACGTTTTGTACTTCATGTAGGTGCTATGGGCTACAAACTCTTGATCCTCCTCTTCTTTGTTGAGCATGTGGCCCGGTCTTATCAATCAATGCTTGTTGCTTTGGCGTGGAGATTGACCATGCAAATGCCCTTCTACAGTAGTTTTCCATAGTTTTCCCATTGGCCATGTGAGGTTGAAAGAGGCTTCGTTGCTGACTTCACTGGACAAGCCGAACCTTGACTCATTGAGCTCCAAACGTCGTCGTCAACAAAGTGAACTGGACAGCCAACGTTTGAGAATATCCAATCTTCCCGATCAAGCATTTGCCGAAGCCATCCGAAACCAGCAACAACCAAATTGGAAGAAGTGGGAGAGAGGGAATTTTGGCTACTGCCCTGAAGTACTAAGCCATGTCACCACTCCCAACTATTATCGTTGTTAATTACCTGGCGGTTGTGAGGATCAGTACATCTACAAGTCGAGCCTTGGCAGCATACGATTGCACATTGTGTGACTTGTAGCGCTGTCATTTGGCCATAGTCCGTCTAGCCCAAGGTACAGTGTCCCGGGTCCACAGGTCAATATATTTTCAGGCGAGCGTTTGAATATTGGTTGAACTTGTTTTCAGGCGAGCACGACATCTTGAGATTTTTACAACAATCCTTTGCCAATCTGGCAACTTTCTCAATTCTCTCTTTCTATCCTTTCATCCTTTCTGGCAACAGGAATCATAGACGCAATCAGTGATGCGGTTCAGATTAAGATTTCATGCAGACAAGACAAAACAATGGCTATTGAACCGCAAGGCATCACACAGCTTCCCTGGGCTTTGAAGCCCATCATCGGCCTTGTGAGTGACATGCTTCCGCTTGGCCATGAGCTCAGCTCTGATCCAGAGTGATGCTCGGCTCTGTTCAGATGACATTCGGCTCGCTTGCCAGGTGGCTATCACAAATCTCCATACATGATTGCCTCTGCCATCACTGGCTGTATAGCCCTTGTGGTGATTGGCGCAGTTCCGAAAACCATGCTTTCATTGACACTGTTGGGGACCTGGTGTGCTTTCAGATATGCAATTGCCTAAAAAAGCATGGGCACTGAAGTCCTGGTTCGTTGGCTGCTACGGAGCTGCAAGGCTAGTTGTGTGCCTGTTCTTCAACCAGACACAGCTTTCCGTGTGTGACATCCTGGCAGAGGCAAAGCACAACCGGCAAAACCATGCACCTCTCCAAACACGCCATGCGAACATTCGAGAGTTGTCACTTGGAGAAATTGTGGAGGCCAAATATGCGGAGAGAATCCAGCAAGTACCAGCTTATGGGCCACACCTTTTGAGCACCTCGGCTGAACAACCGTAGTAGGCACCTCGGCTGAACAACCCCAGTAGCGATGGCCTTCACTCTACTACCGACTACCGATGGCCTCCAACCTGGCAATGTAGGATCCTGATTAGTAAAAGGGATCCCCCCTCCTCTAAACAAAAGGGAGGTCCTCTATAATAAACTACCGTCAAAACAATTCTGGGTTCCTGGGAGGATTCCTTTCGTAATTGATTGTAGTATCAATTTTCCTTGTGTTTTCAATTCATAGATTATATTTTCATGTTCCTTTCTCAGGTTCTTTGTAGATATTCTCAGCAATCCTGTTATACTCAGGTTCCACTTTAGGGGCGTAGTTGCAAAGCAGGGCATAGCCTAGGGGGGCACTATGAATCACTCAGAACTTCAATGAGGGTTGGAGAACCGATTGGGTTCGCAGAAGCTGTTTTGGCCCTCCCCAGAACCCTGTTTCATGGTTCTAAGAACCACCTCCTGGTTCACAGAAGGTCTTGGAACCCAAAGGGGTTCCAGAACTAAGCCGCTCCCAACCGTGCCCCTAAAGTGGAGTCCTAAATAAAATACCACTAAAAAGAGTACAAAGAAGGTTCTCAGGTTCTTTGCGGCTTTGAAGACGAACTAGAGAAACCTATACTTATCAATACTCTCAGCAAGCCAGCCATTGGCTTAGTAGTATTAAGATTGGTTATTTATTTCTAATGAGAAAAACTTTGCACAATTGAGGACCCATAAAACCCATTTTATATTGAGGATCAGGAGCCTTCCTGGCTTACTACCTTGAACATTTGTTTAGGAGCAATCTTTTCATAAAGGATTGATTATATAAGGATTTGATAGCTTTGGGAAGCTGCCAGGTTTGCAGAGGAACTAGACAAACCTACGTATACTTATCAATACTCTCAACAAGTAGCGATGGCCTCCACCCTTAGTAGCGATGGCCTCCCCCTAGTAGCGATGTCCTCCACCCTATTAGCAATGGCTTCCCACCTAGTAGTGATGGACTCTAACGTAATAGCGATGGCCTCCACCTTAGTAGCAATGGCCTCCACCCTAGTAGCTGGTCTCCAACCAAAGAATCCAGCAAGTGCTGCCAGTTTATGGGCCTCACCTTTTGAGCGCATCAGCTGAACAACACAAGCACTGCAAAGCAGCCACGGGTCCCACGGGATTTGTTGCCTAGTAGTTGACCCATTGTTGACCCATACCCACATCCATAGCTTCAAATGGTGAAACTTCGATTTAAGATGAATGAATAGCTTAGTTCTTGTTGGCTCCAACAGCTGTCAGGCTACGTTTGGTTTGGAATGAATATTGGGAGCCTTGTCTGAGATTTGCAGATGTGGTAGATGACTTGCAGATGCCTTTTTTGGGCACTATTCACCTTCATGATTGGAAGATGATGTGCATGTCTCAGCTGGGCAAAAGCACAGAGGTCTTTGGTCGGGATGCTTCTCTCCGGCATCATTCTTGCAACGTTTTCGCCCAAGTTGCCCTACTTGATTGCCGTTGGGCGCCCAGTTTGCTACCTTTGTGTGCCCAACCGGCTGTCGCGTTTTTGGGGATCAAGGCGCTGCCTGCGGGAATGGCCTCTTGGCAGAGCGAAGCGAAGCGCGTCCTCATGTTCAATCAATGTGTGAAGAGACACTACAGTCAAAGGTCTTGATCCCTTTGATTCTGGGTTGCTTGGAAGAGAAGCGTGTCACACCTGAAGAAGCGGAAGCTTGGCATATCTGGAAGCGGCCTGGGACATGCAAAAAAATTATAGAAAAGCCCAAGACAACTCTGGACGCTCTAGAGAAGAACGTACGCGTCATGGGACATGAGCTGCACAGCTTTGCAATGACACAAGACTTGGCCTTGACAAAGTGCCACTCTCGGTTGTAACCCTTCTATATTTTGGAGGCAAAGTAAAGAGCGAGTCCTTGTATGCCCTGGGCATTGACCTTTTGCAAATATTTGTGAATCACAGTTTGAAGCTCAACATGGCCCTCATTCTGACGAGTACCGGATATGATATGGCATGGACATTGTTTCAATGGTGCCATTTAATTTACAAGATGAATAGGAAACGCCGGACTACTGTAATAACCCCTCCTTCCAGGATTTGTTTGAAAGGCGTTCATTATTGGAGGCCCCGAGGCGGACCAAACTAATGGGGGATTATTTTGGACCGTCGTTGGTAATTTGATCGCACATCCACCTTGTCTCTTCAAAGACCTCATGAACCTTTGCAGCCATTTGGATGCAACATCACTGTCTCTTAGGCTGAGCAGCGCAAGAAGTTTTACAAGTACCTTGGCTGCCATTTTCTTTGTCGTGATGACAAGTTATGAACAATCCCAGGCGACCAGGGGCCTTTGTCACTTTATAAGTTCTCGATATACTACAGTAGGTTTTGTGATACAAACACTTGACCCGTCCCCCGTATAACGTGCTAGACGGTGTTGATCATCACTGTAGCATCAGCCTGAGGCAAACGGAGGCAATGCTCCTCAGTGGGCCTCCCGGCAGCATTCACTGCATGTCTCCGTAGGCTGCTCCTACTGACCACATCCCACCACCCATTCTGCGTAGATTCGAACTAACCAAAAATCCCAGTAGAATTGAATGACTGGTCCTGTTGGATGCCATGGCAAAATCAGCAGCACGACTGTGACCTACGAGGATGATTTGCCTTGCCTGCCTTGGCCTCACGGTGTGTGGATTGGCATCGAGCAATGTCCGGCTGAATGCTACAGTGGCTTTGCTGGCCTTTCTCTTGGTGGGTTTCAGTTTCAGCGATCCTTGTCTGAAAACAAGGACTAAACTTAAACCTCCCAAGTAGAACAGAATCCAACTTGACTTGATCAAGGAATCAAGGAAGTAGACACATCACTCAAGCATGCTTTGTAACAGAACATATTTGGTAAGATGCAGCATGCATGTGCCCGCATAAACGCCAGCACAATTCCACAGAGAGTTCGAGCGCGGCGACCTTTTGCCGACCAATCTGCTTGGCCCCCATTGCGAAACAACAAAGAAGCTAGTAGTAACAAGTGCATCGCTACTAGTAACAAGTGCCTTACTAGTAGTAACAAGAGGCTAGTAGTAACAAGTACCTAGATGTTTCCCCATTGACACGGACCACACGTGACTGCCTGCGGACTCAAGACTCAAGACCATGTGTGTGTGTGTCCTCTTTGGAGAGGGAAGTGGGGGGATCGGTTGGTGTGCGTGTGTGTGTGTGTGTGTTTGTTTGTTTGTGTGCAGGTGTTCCTCTCTCCCACGATTGCCAAGTTCAACGCTTGGTCTTTGCTGCAAACTTCTTTGTCACTCTCAACCAGAATCTTGGAGTTGGGAGACAGGTGACGTAAGCCAACTCCATGTGGGGTGAAGACGGCAGGCCGGAACATAGGACCGGAACATAAGCGTTTGCCAAGGAGGTGCTCCTTTATTTTCAAACCGACACAGCCGAACAATATCCAGAGGCAGGGTACTGCACCACACAATGTAATAGACATGATATCATCATTTACTGTTATTTGCTAGCTTGGCAATGGTTTTGGAACGGGTTGGAAGATAAACCAAGAGGCACGAAGTTGAGATTTTTTTCTATCTGGCCCCAGCGGGCAGGGACCACATTTCTCCCCCTTCTTCTACAACTCCGTCATTGGCACCGAATCTCGGCTGTTCTTTTTTGAACATCAGATGACAGCAGAGTGGACAGACCCAAGGTGTCATCTTGTTTGGTGTGGTTGCTTGACTTGCTTAACGTGCTGCTGTGTCAGGTTGGTGCTTTGACATCCTTGGCCACTTGGTTGATGATTAGATAATCTAATCTCCAAGGCAGTGAGGTAACCAGGTATGCTGGGGTCATCTTGTGGGTGTTGATGTTTTGTGCACCATCGCAAAGCTTCAAGGTTGGCATTATTACCTTTCAGCGCTACATGACCCATTACAAGTATAGGAGACAGAATGTGAAAAGAAACAAAGCAAGGTCTGCAGACCAAAAGATCCAAAAGGTCAGAATAGGAGACAACAAAGAAGCTAGTAGTAACAAGTGCATCGCTACTAGTAACAAGTGCCTTACTAGTAGTAACAAGAAGCTAGTAGTAACAAGTGCATCGTTACTAACTTGGACCACCTTGCAGAACTTGTGACACTGTGACCGAGCAAGCGGAGCTGTGATGAACGATTGGAGGAACTTGTTGCTCGTGACAAACGTGGTGTTCTCTTTTTTGAATATGCTGGATGCAGTGTTGACGCTCGTCCGGTTTGGCCCAACGATTTGTTCAACATTATGACTTGTTCATGTTGCCTTCTTTTTTCATGTGTTATTCCTTAAAGCTATTTGTAGACCTTTTGTGTGTCATGTCCTTCCTTCTTTTCAATCGGCCATTACTCCAATATCCGAGCTGGCGTGTACGTTTGCAAGGTATAGCAGGCTAAACAAGAGAATCGGCATACCAGACCATGCTTTTGTTCTCGGAATCTTGTCTGCAAAGCTCAGCCGGTCCTTCTCAATGTTTTGGTCACTGCCCCCCCCATCAGATCTTTACAGCTCTTGAGGTACTGGCGTCTTGCAGAATGTGATGAATCAATGGCAATGGCTGCCTCAAGTGATTATCCTCTCATATTTTTGCCCAAAAGGAATGGAAGCCACAATGTATGCTCTTCTTGCTGGTTGCCACAACCTTGGGAACACCATCGCCAGCAATTGGGGAGCCTTGCTTTTGGAGTTGCTTTCCATCAATCCCAATGGCTCGCCCGGTGAGGGTGATCAGTTCCAAAACCTGTGGAAGGCCTCCCTCTTGGCGTCAGTGCTTCCGATGATCACCGTTGTGGCACTCTTCCAATTCATCCCAGATGTGAAGCAGGGCGATCGAATTGTTGACCCACATGAAACGGCGACGAGAGACTCCTTGTGGAAGCGCTTTTGGAACATCCGTGACGAACGGGAAGACTGAGAAACAACAGACCAGAGTCGCCAAAATCGGCAGAGAAGAAAACAGAGTTGGATAGAGTTGGCAAACCTGGTAAAGTCACGAAGCTTCGTGAAGTGCTTTCCCTTCATACAGGGTTGATGGACGGATCCCCAATCTCCTCATTTCCAACAACGCCAAGCATTGAGCCATTACTTGGAACTTGCAGTGCTAGATTGAACATCCTTTGCCAGAGAAGCCATCAAGACATTGGACAGGAGGTCGTCGCGCCCATCAGTCCCGACAGTCAGGCCCCATGACAGTATGAGAAAGAGAACAAACGACTAGTGAAGCTAGGCTTGGCTTAATCAGGCCCAATAGTGGCTTATTTTCATAACCGTTTGTGTTCTTTTTTCCAGACTGCACTCACTTCGTAACAACAGTCTGATGAACTTACTCACTGACATCCAGGACGCTGATGCTGAGGTGTAGATCTCGGATGTTTGCTGGGTGTCAAGATAGGTTAAGAAATATCAAATGTTCAATCGATCAATAGGACAGCAGCAATCATTATCAACTTCTTGCTTTGGGGTTGTTTAACTTTGTTGACGAGCAGACAAATTGTCTAAGGAAATCAGGCTTCGGTGTCGTTGCCAGATGATTAAGGTGAAGCAGGAGGCGCTTCCCGGCTGCTGATGTTTGTACTAGAATTATTTGTGTACTACTTTTTGATATTATCTATTTGTGTACTAAGAATATATAAAACTATTTAAGAAACACAATGTATAATATATATATAGATACACGTTACACATTATACATATTATGTTGAAGTTCTCATGTTGCATGTTGCAAGGCTTATGTAACTATTGTTCTGTATGCCGCCCGTCACTCTTAGTATTTGTTAGTCATTGAAAGCCAGGAAGACAGAGCCTAGAATCATTTCAATCTTGGACTAAATGATAGAGAGTGCAAACGGGTATATAAATCCTAATATCCGCAAGATCTCATCTATAAAATGACAGGTCGAAGAAAGCAGCGAACCCTCTGCGAAGGCAGGCAGACGAGGAGTCGTTGGTGTCGGTGTTGTTGCCCACACGACAATCTCTTACGCCAGTTTGGCAGTACCACTAGTAAGATCAAACATAAGGCAGGTATAAGCTTGTAGCTTCCAGCATGTGCCACTTAGATTCAAACGTTGCATATTGAGGCAAGCCCTGTGGCCGTTCCGACGCCAACGGGTGATTTGCGACAAATCTTCCAGCAGCAGCGGGAGAGTCAGCCGGGAGACCTTACGAAGGGAGTGGCATGGGGCAGCCAGGTCCAGCAACAAGACCAACAGGCACTTACTCCAGTTGACCCAAACAAGCAAGCAAGATCAAGCAAGAAACGTGCGCTGCATTGACTTGGATTTGGACATTTCAATTTGACTGTGCTGGTCCTTGTCCTTGCAGCATCCCTGAACAAGAGAGTACTTTCAAGGGTTTCGGTTTCCATCCCTTGTTTGAGTGGAGAAATCCCAAAACAGTTCAGACTGTTCAATGTTGACCAGTAGACTGCTTCCTTTCATCATCCTTTCTCAGAACCTTGTCATCGTAGCTGCAAATCTTGAGTGTTGAGTGCCGAAACCACACTGTCAAAACGGATGTTCTCTTTGAGGGAAACTGCTAGTATGGTAAGTGTTTAGAAGCCTGAGGTCTCGGGCAGACGCTGAGGACGCTTCCAATTTTGTTGAACACTTTGGACTGCGGACCGGTCACGGGTCACGACTTTTGCCATCATTTGCAGTGCACTTGGGCACTTCTGTGCTGTCTCCAAACTGGCTGGTTTGCTTCATTGTGCTTGCTGTCGGATGCAACATAAAGTAACATTTTGATACATTTTGGCTCAGTCCCACTGGCAGGGTGGTTGAAACAGACGCCTTGCATTGCTTACCGTGCTCCTTTCATAATTCGATCAGCCGCATCGGGGAAAACCCTCGCTCGGGCTTCCGGGCATCCCGAACAGGCCGATTTTCTCACCTTACTCGCGTGGTACTTGCGTCAGCAAGAGCTTCGCGTCTGAAGAAAGCAGATGGCATTCTTTGCGCAGATCTTGGCAGCCCTTGCCGTAGCCAATGTGTTGCCAACAGCACACACATCGCAGGATAAAGGTCTTGTCTCGACATGGTCAAGACATATGAACCTGGGACCCACCCTCGAAGACCCCTCATCATCTTGGCTGTTGGAAAAGGATGATTTCTCGGAGACTGTCGAGATGCCATGCAGCATCAAGAATGTTGAGGTGAAAGCTGCACCCAATCTGCCGAGAATTACTGCCAATCTTCCAAGCATTTCTGAAGCTCTCCTTCTCACAGTAGCTGCTCTCAGCTTGGGCGTCTCTTTGTCACTCCGAGGGCTTTGCAGTCAGCCGACACTGTCGGATCACTTGCCATCCCCGAAAGCCAACGAGACCACAGACACCTTTGGTTGTACAGAACTGCACGTGGCAGCAGCAGAGGGTTCTGCCCTTCTGGCGCGAAAGCTTCTGGAGGGCGGCTCAGATCCAAATGCCAGGGAAGCTTGGGAGGAGACGCGAGTTGCAGGGCTTTTGTGGTATACCATTCCAAATCTTTTTGCGGTGCACCTGTAGAGCTTTCCAGGTTGGCTCTCTCTCTCTCTCTCTATCTGTCTATCTATCTATCTATCTATCTTCCTCCAAACCGTAGCCCATGCAGTCGTTGCATAGGACCAAAAGGTTTGCTTGTGGAGACTCCTTATGCTTGGCAGGAGACACCATTACACATGGCTGCTCGCAGTGGAAACCTCCCTGTGGCACAGCTGTTGGTCTCCCGTGGTGCAGACTTGAACGCACAGAACTTAGACAATCTCACACCTTTGGTGGTGGCGGCAAAAGAAGGGAAGAAGGACAGCTTCCATCAGCCCGCGGTTCAGGTTTGGCACAGGATCATGCAGGATCAAAAGGTCTCAAAGTTCAACAAGAACTCACAAACAAGTGTCCTCCATTTACGAACTGATCTGACCATGGGTCTATCACTGGTCGGCACCGGTTCCAGTCACGTTGGCCAAGCAATTTGCACTGCATGCAGGCCTCAGTTCGCACCAGCATTCTACTAGCCTAGTATGTTGCAGCTTATTGGGAAGCACTTCAGGTAACCCTTGGGGTACCGTAACTCTTAGAACGTTCTTCATGAAAGACCCTTCTGAAATACCAATGGCCAGGAAGTTTGCAGCTTCCTGTTAGAAATGGGAGCCAGTGCTGGTGGCATGGAAGAGGACAGGCTTCCTTGCCTGTTGAACTCCTTGCTTCTGCAGCTCGGTTGGAGTCTGTGTGTGTGTGTGTGTGGTGCGGTCTTGGAACTACAGAGGATTGGGGCATATGTTCTTGCTGTCTCCTATCCTTTTCACACGACTGATTCTTGTCACCTCGACAGGTCATGCTGAAACACATTTTTTGCGTGCGAACTAAGGGAGCAGGTCAGTTTGCACAACTCATCATGCATCTCAAAGCTGGCTGTACAATATGGTACGAATTGAAGGTTGATGAAACTGAGGCAGCGAATGCTGAATGGTAAGGATGAGACCAAGGCGCGCTGGCCAGGTTCGCACTGAACTTTTTGTTAAGGTCTAAGCTGAAGAGGAGTTGCTAGCCATACTACGACATCATGTTTTTTTCACAAAATGTATCAACATGTCATCACTCCTTTGCTATCAAATCCACGCACCTAGTCTAGGACAGCATTTGAAATAGGCCCATACAACGCATATCAACGCATAATTGCAGGAGTTCCCGCACTTCAGCTCAAGGGCTGAAGCACTTGGATTGCAAACTGTTGGTTCGATCCAAGCCATCACATCTTGCGTGAGGCAGCCTACAGCAATCAACGCACGGTTCCAATGGAGTCTGGCGCTTTGCGTTCGATAAGAAAGATTGACGACCTTTAAGAGCTTTTGGGAGCCACTAGTAGCGAACATTGTTCCTAGTAGCTTTTGTTTTTTTTGTTCGCACCTGAGGCGTGCAATGTACATCGCTGCCTGAATAGCGCACCCGTGGCGCACTACAGTTTCAATTTTCAATGTGGGGACACAGATGGGCGTCAACGTTGCTGTAGTCCTAGCAGCAAGTGTTGGCGTGCTTCCCCGTGAGATGCTCGCCCCACAACCCACACTTGCTGTGGGCTTGGGCATCCAATGAACTGGCCGCCATTGAAAATCTGAAGCACATGCCAGAGCAAAGCTTGGTTGAGCACTTGATTTGATGGCCTTTTCACTTTGCCAAAGTTGATTGTCATGGCCACCAGGAGGGAAACGAAGAGGAGGAGAACGAGGATGATGACACTGCTGAAAAGCAGGCTGTCTCAGTATGAGCTGTCATAATTTGATATAATGTTTGTTAAAACAGGGCATCAAGAAGACTCCCTTAGGACTCCTGGTCCAAGAGAGTGTCCAAGCAAGTCGAAGGATCGTAGAAGAAAAGGACTTGAAGCTAGGGTCGATATATGCTCTTTCATGTTTCTCATTTAAAAACTATTTTAGAAATACACAAACACTATATTTATATATAACGCTCTGAAATATCTATTTAAACTCTGTTTAACTCTATTTCATGCTCGTTTTGATATCGATGTCAGGCCTTTGAATCTGCCCAAGAGTTGTCTCTGGAGTCGGGCGGCCTAGCCTCGGGGGGCCTAGGCCCTAGTAGCGCTATTTGTTCCTAATAGCTTCTTGTTACTACTAGTAAGGCACTTGTTACTAGAAGCGATGCACTTGTTCCTAGTAGCTTCTTGTTCCTAGTAGTAAGGCCCGGAGCCCCAGTAGCTAGAGTCCTTGCTCCTAGTAGCGATGCCAGGAGCCCCGAGTAGCTTCTTGTTCCTACAATCCGAAAGAACCAGCTTTTCCGTTTGTTGAGCCGCCTAGGCTATACGATGCTCCAAGATTGTAAGGGTAAGGACGACGAAGCACTCCCACCCAAACTCCTACCAGAATCTAGAAAGAAATTGGAAGTTCACTTTCTGCTCTGTTTCCGGTTTGCCTGTTGTTTGACACAAGGCAAAACCGATCGGAACGACAGCTGCGCCAGCAACAAGAGCAAGACCTGCTGCACCAAGGGAGCCCTGCGAGTTTGTAGATCTAGAGAAGACTTGAAGACCATCCTGGGCTGTTTGGAGTTTTGCTCTAGTTTTCTTTGCCTTCAGGAGCTTATACCCTCTAGAATGTCTGGATCAGGCAAGATCTGAGGGGCATGCGGGGCATGAGGTGGTTCCGCAGAACAAGGCATTGACACCCTGATATGAAAAACTCAGACTGCTGATGTGGGCATTTCATGTCAAAATCAAAGCACATTTTTTTCCAAGCCCCACACGACATTTGGAGTTTTGCTCCGTCCATGCTTGCCTCAAGCGGGTCTCCGAGCAGCACCAGGCGTCATGCACCAACGTCACCAACTTCCGCTCTTTTTCTTGGGAAGCACTTCCGCTCTTGCTGCTGAAGATTTTGCTTCCCACGGATGGACAATACCCAGAGAACACCATTTGGGATGTTTGTGGAACTTTCGCACGAGCATTTCAATTTGCCTATCATCTGAAGGCTCTTTGAAGGGGAATCGCTATGCCAACACCACCAGTCTGAAGGCCTTGAATCCACCTGAAGATCAAGTATTGACCGGCCAGCAATGCTTCCGCAGTGTGCTGGTAGCACATGACTTGCAGGAGAAGTTTCTACGCTTCTACCAGCACAATGGAATCCCACCCATTGAAGAGGTTCTTTGGATTACAGGCTTGCCAGTAGAAGGACAAGAGGAACTCTGGGAGATTTGTCCAGGAATGCTCATTACAGCTCTTTTCTTTCATTCGGAGCTTCGTTTCTCACTCCGACCCCGTGATTTGTGGGGCCAGCTCCAGAGATCCCGAGCTCGCAGCTTGCTTTGGCGCATGGCCGGTACCAATGGAAGCTACGAGAGAGACCACTACCGTGTGACCTTGAGGACCTGGCCCATTTCTGCGGCCTCTGCCAGATCGCTGAAGCTGCAGAAAGCACTCACCTCTGCAAAAAGGAGTTACCATCAAGCTGTTGGTGAACGAAGCCGAAGTGAATCCGTAGATATCGTCGTGGTCTTCTGTCATGGACATTTGGACTGGCTGGATGATCTCACTTTCCCTTCCAAGCATCGAGTTCTGGTCTACTTAAAGTGCTCTGAATCCAAAGAGCATTCCTTTTGCGCCAAGTTTCATTGTAAAGATGCGGCCTTTCTAGATGCGAGAGATGCGAAAGGAGGGATTCGGTCAAGTGATGAATGTGGTGGATATTTGCTGCACATCCAGGATCATTTGGAAGATCTCTCTGATTGGACAATATTTTTGCAAGACGATGCACCGCGCCACTTGCACTTGGGTTACTTGAACCTTGTCCTCAAGTTACTGGGCTCTGGAACCTTCTCAAGTTTGGCAGGGACATTTTTGCACCTAAATAACGATAGGCATCTTCTGTACTGGACACCGTGCCTGGAATCGCTAATGAAGTTGCTTGACCTTCCACCATCCAATCTTTTGGCGACGTATTGCTGCGCTCAATTCGTGGTTCACCGAAGTCAAATATCCAAACGTGGCGCAGGCTTCTTTCAGAAGGCCTCAACGCTTTTGAAGGAGAACTTGGAAGATATTCCTGGATGCCAGTACCATGGTGCGTCAGAGCAAAGAAGAACACAGATTACAGGAATCAGGCTTGAAGAATCTGAAAAGGGACATGAAAGGGCAGTCGACTCTGAAAGCTCAACATTCCAGATGAGACTTTGTCACCTCTACGACGCTTTGATCAAAATGAGTCCTTCAGAGTCCTTCTATTCAAAGCGCATCTCCTAGACCTTGCTGTTTTGTGCTAACTTTATCTAACTTTTGGATTCTTTTTGTGCAGTCCATACGAGAGAAGGACCGGTGGCAGAATCTAGGGCATACTAACTTACTTGTAGCATGCTCCGTGACACTTCCTCTATGATACGGACTGTGTGCATGTTGTGAGGAACACACTAGTATGCTCTACAGTATGCTCTACATAGTATGCCAGGTATAATATGCAAGCCAACAACCTGGGTGACCAGAGATTGCCTTACTGTATATACATAAGCTATACAGAAGCTTTGGAGATAGAGATAGAGAGAAGCTCGATTTGAAGAGTCATACACCCAATATCTTTTGCTTCATGGTCATCTGGGCCTGATTTTTTTGGTTGGTTGGCACTTGCAGGTGAAACGATGTGGTTCCTCAATGTTCCTCTAATTGATATATATATATATAATAGTTATAATTACGTATATAGTAATCAAAGGACGTTTAGTGTGCAAAACTTCCGTGTTACGGACATTCAACAGCTTTTCAACCACCACTCATCATACACCACTCATCATACACGACTCATCATACACCACTCATCACACACCACTCATCATACACCACTCATCATACACCACTCATCATACACT